GGGGGGGCCCCGGGTGAAGGGAGGCCCCAGGCTGCCCGGAGCGGGGCGGCGGTGGTGGCCCTGGGACTGTGAGCTCAGGGACTGGTCTCAGACCCAGAAACCTACACGTGTGTGTGTGTGTGTGTGTGTGTGTGTGTGTGTGTGTGTGGGAAACCCCCAAGAGCCGGGGCACAGGCCAGGAGCATGGGGAGGACAAGGCCCTGGCTTTCAGAGATGGGGACTCAGTGGGACCCCGCAGGCCTCAAGGTAGCTCCTACCGCCCCGCGGCCGGACTGCGGACGTCTGTCCTAGGATATGGCCTTGAGATGGTCCCCAAGGCCAGTTCTCTCCCTCACTGCTTCCCCGTCTCTGCCCTCTGCTGTCCAGGCAGCTGTGAGGACGGCTTCCTGCAGGGCGCCTCCCCGCTGGCGTCTCCGAGAGGTTCCCCGAAGGGGTCTCCGGTGCCCGGCCTAGCCCGGACAGGGACCCCGTTGCCCGCGCCGCAGGTCCCGAGGGTGGATTTGCAAGGAGCAGAGCTCTGGAAGCGCTTTCACGAAATAGGCACGGAGATGATCATCACAAAAGCTGGCAGGTAAGCTCGAGCTCCCCAGGGTGCTCATGGATTCTGGCTTCACCCTGCCCATCTCCTGGCCATAGCTGTGACCGATCCAAAAGGGCCCGGGGCAGTAGGCCCTTATTGGAGGCTTGATTGCCATTTTTTTTTTTTTTTCTGAAGTGCTGTCGATGAACTGGGCCCAATCTTGCTAAAAGTCAGGAAGCTCTTTGTCAATATGGGTGCTACAGCCTTAATTCCTTGAGAAAGGGAGTGCGGGGTTGTTATCCGAGATCATGTGTACCCCAGTCTGCATTTAAGGCTCTAGTTATCCGTTCCGAACTAGGTAATAGATTGATCCTCTCTCGCTTTAGTTATTTTTAATTCTTATTTTCTTTTGCATATTCTAATTTTTTTATTCAGAATTCCTCGGTTGGTCCTAGACTATGAGCTCATGCTGTATTGTGCTATTCTGATATTAGGTAGCCATGGTCATGTTTAATCATGTATTGCTATAAGAATCATTATTATTATTATAGCAAAACACACACACACACACACACACACACACACACACACACACACACACGAAATCTAGCCCATCACCTTAAATTTACTGAATACAAAAACGTTTGGAAGGAAGTTATTTTTTAGGATATGTGATTTGTACATCGTTCGTTAGTCAAATAAATGGATTTGTTGGCCACATCATAATAATTTGAGGTCGGTGAGAGAAATTTGCGCTTTCAAGTTTTCGGCTCATTTAGTGCATGTAGGGTCATGAAACCTAAGAATAATATGTTCCTTTTAAAGGGTCTTTAAAAAGCACACACAACTCTTTCAGGGAGTGCACATGGTAAAAACCTGGGTAGCATAAAAGTATCCAAACTTATTAGAAATTACAAAAACATATTTTATTGAATCCATATGCTACCTTCTGCATTCTCGGGGAGATTTTATTAATGATCCAAATGCGGTCTTCAGCGTCACAAAGCAACAGTTGTCTTATAAAGGATGTAGTTAAAGACCTTTCCTCTTTATCTTACAGGTGCACTGAAAGAACACTTAAACAGCCAGCATATTAAACTGCTCTCATGTTAGTTAATAATCATAGACTTTCCTTTGTCCGGCAGTGGTCTTTAATAGCGCTGTTGTTAAAAAAAAATGTGGTAGATAAATTTGTGTTATAAGGTTAAATTAACAAAAATGAGATTACTTGGCGGGTCCTAGACATAAATCATTAGAAGAAAGTCTCTCTCTCTTTTTTTTTTAAGGGCAAAACTTATGTTGTTTTTAATACACAGTAATGCCATGCTGTATTCCTTGCTTCTGTGCCCCCTTTTAAAAAGGGATTATGTGCATTTACTTCAGCATCTCCTTTGATACACATATCTGGGAAGTCAGGAGAAAATGGAATTTTCGTTTGCTTTAATTAGCAATAATTGTGGTTAGAAAAGAAAATATTTTGGGGGGTTATGGCAGGGGAAGGAAATTCGTAAATATATGTTGTGTTTAGTTTCTGCTTCCAATAAAGAAGTTTTACTATACCTTTCAAATTTAGAGCGCCTTTTGCACTTTACCTTACCGGGCTGCAGACAGGAAGTCCTGTCTCAATAAAGAACATATTGTTTGGTTATAGCATGGCACATTGGCTCCTTGTGGGTTTTTTATAACCCCCTTTAAAATTTCACATTATAATATATTTTATCACTTTCAGAAATTTGAAATTTCTATCAATGATGTATTTCAGTATTTCTAGTAAGATAAATAGGCTTGTTGATTTTGCTTCAAAAGTTGTTTCTTTGGTGTAAAATCCATTTGCTTTTAAGATACATTGATGTTTCAATAAACACAGAACATGTATACATGGTGAAACAAATCACATTTTTAAGGCTGTAGTTTTGATGTAACCTATGCTCTGACACCCAGAGTTATGTTATCTAAGTGAATGTGATAAATTTGTCTACATTAAAATGGAAATTACAGGAGGATTCCTGGCTTTATTCAGTTTCTAGTCTTAATCACAAGCAAAACAAAACCCAACCCCCGTTTCTCTTTCCTTTCCATTACAAACAGGCGCATGTTTCCAGCAATGCGAGTGAAGATCTCTGGATTAGATCCTCACCAGCAGTATTACATTGCTATGGATATTGTGCCCGTGGACAACAAGAGATACAGGTACGATGACCACAAGCAGAGCCTTAGCAACACCAGGACTCTGTGGACGACTGCCTGCCTCATCCATGTCATCGTGATCTTTGTTCCCCAAAGACCACAGAATTTCCAGATTCACGATCTAACTCCCATGAGTTCTAGAAGCTAAAATGGTGCTTCTCCCCTAGTATATTGTAGAAACTCATGGTTTGTTTTGCTTTTGGTAGTTGAAGAGATGTCTTTAGTCTTTGAGACTTCGAACAGGATCACGTATGGCGTTGCTAAGTAAAATATATCTTTAACACTGGTTAGCCGTTGAGTTAGAATTTTGATAGGAATTGTTTAACGCAAGGTTGCAGATACACATTATAGTAAATGTTATCTTTTTGATTTTACGTTAATTTTCTTGTTATGTTAAAAATAACATGTATTTCAGACTTTCGATTTGAAAAAAAGAGTTTACAAGTTAGAAAAATAAAATCTCATAATTCTTTGTGACATTAAATCATTTTCTAAATTTGTAATAAATTGTTATCCCTGGTTTGTTTTTAGGTTGGTAATTGACAATTCTTTAAAATTTTCTATAATACTTGGATTTTGAAACAGAATACATTTGTCTGTGCATCAAGTAAACTCCGAAAAGATAATCAGTTCTTTGTTTTCAAACTGTCTTTGTTTTTACTTAGGCTAGAAAACTAATTAGTGATTTTCAATGACAATGCTTTTCCCTTATTGTAAGAGTTTGAGATGCTAATCTGTTTAAAAGGAAGTTTGAAGAGTTTGGGAGAGCAGGAGATGGATCTCTGTTTGAAAATTTCTTTCTCATTTAGTATCCATCTGAATGAAATGATTGGGTTTCTATCACATTTTAAAAAATGGGTGCTTGTTTTGATAAAACAAGTTTTTGATGTCAAAAATATTCAGATTTAAATTTGTGTATGAGCATATAGAAAAAGTGTTTAATATAGTAGTTTTATTTGTGTTTTCTATTTAAGTTGTATTATTCTAATTAAAAAGTCATTTTAAAAGTTTTGCTTACATTATCTACTGACTAGCAGAAAGTAGACAATATTAAGTTTGTTCATTAAATATACATGATTTAAAACCCATATTCTAATTTGAGTTTTGTGTTGAGGTAGATAATGTAATTCTTAGTGAGTTTCTAAATTACTCTTTTATTTTTCAAGATTCTATTCTGTTTCTTCCTCCAGTTTCCCCCATATACTTTAGATTTTTTATTTTACACAATTCATATTTACTCTCACAGAAAGCAATGAAAATTTAGATCTTAATAGATGAAACTATGAAACACACATTTGCTTTCTTCCATTGCTCTGGAAGATATGTTTAGCTTTGATATTTAGATGCTTTATGAGGAATGTCTATATGTACAATTAATTCTCTTAGAGGGTGTTGGATTTGAACTATTTAATGTGCATAATTTTCAAGGTTTTGATAGAACATTTTTATTTATTTTGGTAGAAACCCAAGTCTTATCTGAAGTGCAGTTTTCTCCCCATGCATCTTTAAGGTTTCTATTTTATTTTCCAACTTTTTTCATCTGTATCAGAAATTATTTTTTGACTTATTCTCTGTCAAAGAAAGGTATTTGATCCATGTTAAAAACTTTATGAAAAATGAATTGTCACAAAAGCTCATAAGTATTTATTTATTAAAACCACACCATAACAATTAAAGGAAGGATTTAAAAATTAATTTAAATGCTGAACATATTTTGCTTCAAGGAAAGGACTTAAAATCTGCAAGGGACATTGAGCTTAAAATTCATCTCACTGAAATGTGTAACTATAGTTGAGACAAAGAGCTTCAAAAAAGATAGATTTAGGGAAATGTTTCATGCTTTTTAAAAAGATGTGTGTTTTTGACACAGGTATTTCTGACATTACCTGAACATTACCATTGTAAATTGTGTTCAGTATCTTAACACATGAGCAGGAGGCAATATATCTAAGTGTATAATCTCACTTCATCATTTCACTGACATGCTAGTTTCTAGTTTTTAAATTCACATTAACATATAATAATCTGAATATTCAGCTAAATTTTAAAATTTTATCTATTTCTGGAAATCTTACTACTTAAATGTTTTTCTTGCTAAGTCAATTTATTTGTGTTTATCTAAAAAACAGAAAAACCTATTGTGGTTCTTAACTGTGAAAATAACAATAATTGGCTGTACTAATCGAATGTGCTTTGTGTGTTGAATATTGGTAGTTGGAAACTAATATTTGCTAACTGAAGTAATTTTCTTAGAATGATCAAGAAAGAGAAGCATGGAAGATTAATGATGCCCTATATTTTATAATCCCTCAAAAATTTAAATTAGCTTCAATTATTTTATCCTCTATTTATAACGTTAAAGAATTGGGGAAAATTATCCTAAATGTTAAAATGATTAACTCCCCCCCCTAAAAAAAACAATGTGGCAGTTTCCTTTCACCTCTCCACTGTTTGTTCCACCAGACTGTACAGAGCCAAAAGGGGAGTGACCTTTCAGGAAGTAGAAACCTTTAAAATAAGACAATGAAATACTCTGAGGTTTACTCAGAGGTGAGATTGACATCTTCATACATAGTGTCTTCATGCCAATGAAATATTCAGATTAAAATATCAGAATATAAGGTATGTCTATTGTAGGTGTAATGCATTAGAGTCAAGATACTTGCTGTTTATGGGAGAGACAACCTGTATATTTTCACTAAGCCATCAATATGGAGTTTACTCTGAATTATCCATAGGCTCCACAGTACAATCTCAAAAGTATTTAAAGGCTTATTTTGGGTGTATAGAGAATTAAGTTTATATTTAGAAAGTGTGCATGTCTGGTCTTAGTTGGTAATTTCAAGAACTGGGGTAGTCCATCCACAGTTTGACTGTTTTGTTTTTGCCTTGTAGGTATGTTTACCACAGTTCTAAATGGATGGTGGCAGGCAATGCTGATTCCCCTGTGCCACCCAGGGTATATATTCATCCAGACTCGCCTGCCTCTGGGGAGACTTGGATGCGACAAGTGGTCAGCTTCGACAAGCTGAAACTTACTAACAACGAGCTGGACGATCAAGGCCATGTGAGTAGACAGCCTCCCAGGCAAGAACCAGCAGGCCACATCACCCAGTGCCTGGTAAAATATGCTAAAATTGCAACACCCCTTTCTGTTTGGTCAGTATGTGAACAGTACATGCCAAACCAAGGGTATATTTGTACCAGAGACCATGTCTATAGCTGAAGTGTCCCATAAAGCATCCAGTAGGTTTAAAGCAGATACTGGCTTTGTATTGGAATGAAGAGACCCAAGACAGAGACTTCTTTTTTTTTTTTTTAAATCAAAACATTTATGTGAAATCCCACGAGGTGCTAATTATTATACTTGAAATGTACTTGGAAGTTTGGTAACAGGAATGATTTATTGTGTCCTCTCTGTATCCAGCTCTTTTCCCAGTGGAGACTCAGGGCAGTAATGACCCGGGCTTATGTTGTTTGTGTGCTCCATCTGCAAGTTCCCAATTGTTTTGTAATGACATCTAATGTGTCGAAGTATATTATAATTCCCTTTACTCCTAAAACTGCTGAAACCTGATATGTGGGACCAGTCCAGCTGTTCCATAAAGACAGTCATTGTTAACAGCTTGCTGACTTTAGGCAAGATCCTACGTTATTGTTTTAATAGCTCACTAACTCTGGGTACTGCTCATTTCTGTTCAAAGCTAGCCTTTCTGTTAGGTGTCTGTTAGTAGAGTTTTGATTAAGAAGAATTGAAATACCTTTACCAACATCCTCATTTCCCAAAGGACAAAGAAGACACCTAGCTTATTCAGAAATAAGTCACTTAAAACTGCAAACTGTAATGAGCACTAATTCAGTGCTTGTGCTGTGGCTTGCAGGTGTCTAGATGAGAACCTTGGGGTATTAACCAAATACAGTCTCTACATGTTAGTTCACAAATAGTAAGATTTCACATGATAGTGTTTCAATGGTTGCCTTTATGATTTAAGTCAGAATCAGAGAGAGAAAACATTTCATTTCTTCATGTATTTTCCATATGACTTCACATTCCTTCTTTTTATTTTGTGCAATTCCATAATCAAGTTGTAACAAGTATCGTTCACTTGGTTTCAGTGTTGAAAAAATTACCAGGTTCCTCTGTCTGACAGAATTATTGTTAGCACACCCATCTGAGGCTCGGGACTATTCTTCTGCCTTTTAGTAGGAAATTTAGACAAAGTGCTATTTGGTGTTGCTTGCTTTCAAAACCTAAAGTATGTTGCACTTTCTGAACTCTATAGTTTAAGAATATATTTTTAAAAAGATAATTGTACCTCAGATCATTTGAATTCTGATAAAGAATTCAAATCAATGTAATCATCTTACAATTCTAATTCTTTTAGTTCCGAGTACTGGCTTTATATATGGTACGTAATATATCGAATTTTATAGAGAGATTTAGAAACCTATGATTTCAGATTTGCAATTTTAACAGATTTTATCTAAAAAAAGATTCTCCAGAAAATATAATATATTTATGTATGTATGCCTAGTACATCTGTACCTACAGAGAAAATAGTTACACATGGACAATTCCTTTACAACAATTCCTTGTATTAACTGTGTCAATACAAGATGTTTGGGTGCTGCTGGTGGGACAGAAACTTCCACCTACAGTTACATATGTGTATGTGAGAGAAAAGAGACAGAGAGAAGAAAGAGACAGAGGTAGGAGAGGGTACAGAAAGAGAGGAGGGGGAGAGAATTACAGAATAAATATGATTATTGGTTCATGTGATTGTGGAAGAGTTGGCCAGTTCCATGTTTTGGAGACCTAGGAAGAGTTGAAGTTGTGACTTGCATTTGAAGGAATCTGTTATCAGAATATTGTCATCTTCCAGGGACTTTAGTCTGTTTTCTCTTAGGGCCTTCAACTGATTGGACGATGGCCACTCACTTCTACAGAGACTCATCTGCTTTCCACAGGGTCTACCGACTGTTTATCTCTAAGCCATACTTTCACAGCAGTATCTTTTGGTGCTGTTGGGCCAAAAATATGGATATTGTGTCCTCGCCAAGCTAACAGATAAAATTAACCATCACACAGTGTTTGTTTAAAACATAAAAGAATAGTTCCAAGTTCAAGTTCAGTTACTTGAGCCTAATCTTGCTATTAGGAAAATTTACAAAAGCGGCAAAGAACAGTCAAAATTAAGGAAATGTTCTGTCTGCTGGTGAAACTTTTCTCTGAAGGTTGTGACGGGATGTACTAAGTTTAATCAAGAGATAGAAAGAATGCTTACAGGGAGCACTGCAAGGGGGAAGGGGGAGGACTGGGTGAAATCGGGACTTTAGGGCATTGCTCTGTGAACGTTATTGCTTGTAGGGCTAGGTACTCTTTCATGCTATTCATTTCACAGATGTGCTAAATGTGATCAAGGACACTGAAGGCAGAGACTGACTGGCTTCATGAGTTTCTTGCCTAGATAGAATGAGAAGGGAGCCTGCAGATTGCTGTCTTGTCTGTTTATAGAGGTACCTCATCCCAGCTCATCCCTCAAACTGGGAGGGATACCAGAAATTTTCTGCTGTGAGCACTGCATTTGATGGCCCAGTGGAAGCAGATTAGAGATTGGGGATGTGCTTGTGATTCTGCTGCCATATGTGACTCGGGTCTCAGAAGGCAGTACTGTCATGGTGGGACCTTAGCAGAGACCTTCAGGGACATTTGCCCTTTTAGCCTTTTGCTTTCCGTCTTTCCACCAATTCTAAAAGAAGTCATTGTCACCTCTAATAAAACTGTATGCACCATAGTTAATTTCCTAAATTCCTTTCCTACTTTTTAATTTCTCAGTGCACGTAAATGCAGCTTTGTGATGGGTGAATTCTGTGGCCCTGGGTGTTTTACTAAGTAAGCATAAGGTGATTGCAGGGATCAAAGTCTTGTAGTCGGTAACTGGACTTTTGACCACATGGGGTAATGTGTTTTCCCCAAAGTAACTTTTCAAAGTAACTCCCAAATACCAGACCTGGTTCAGAAAAGAAAATTAAGGAGGATTCGGAGTGGCAGTATCCCTCAGAGCCACAGCTAATCCTTGAATGTTGTGGTAACTTTGTAGGCCTGATTTGATCCTTGGAGATTCTAGCCAGCTTTCTGCTAGGTTTGGTACACACCTAGGCTGTGTCTTGGGCTGCTCTCGTGCCGGGGGTTCATATGCTTGGGTAACAGTTTCTCACCACATGCATGCTTTCTTATTTTCCTGCAATCTGTCCTCTGGAGGAAAGTATTTCCATGAGCATCTCTCTGAAAAGGAGAAGACATTTGACATTGCACCTTAAATGGCAGCACCATCATACTTAAAGTGCCGGATGCTCTGGCAGTGGTCCCTGCCAAGTAGCCATAGTCATGGGCTTGTGGGAGTGCATGTGTCCCCACTGCTGACAATTTTGTGTCACACATGCCCACACTCTCTATTGCTTCTCCTTGAAAACCCAGACTGGGAAAGCAGGGTGGTGCAGGAGAGGTAGCTGTGCTCTCTCATGGGGAAGGAAGCTGGAATGTTTGAGGACCCCATGTCAGTGATCCCAGGCAAGTCGGCTCCACTCTCTGAGGCCTTGTTTCCTCATGGGTCATAATGGAATTAGAGACCCAAGGAAGCTGGCAAACTTGGAAGTATGTATTTAAGGAGGGCCTGAAACACTATCCTGTAAGAACCAAAAGGAAAACGTCTACTTTGTCTGAGATTGACTGATAAAGTTTCGACACTGCTTAAAGTGAGGCATAGCTGATATTATAATCCATGCAGGAAGTGGGGCCTGACCACAGTTTCTCCTCCCTTCTCTCCTCCTAGCCAGCAACCCCCCCACCAAGATCTACTGTTTTTCCTTTCCCTTCAGAAAAGGGCAGGCCTTCTAGGTGTATCAATCAAACAGCTACAAACCTAATACAACCTTGAGAGTTTGTCAGCCAGAAAAAATTTAGTTACCAACAAATTCCACTATCAAGCTGTAAAACTAGAAGCCTTATCTGTCAGACTTCAAGCACTTGTCAGAAAAATAAGTACGCTTCTTTTGATGTAAGTCTACTTTATAATTAATTAATTAATTGGCAGTGTCAGAGGTTAAGCCCAGGGCAAGTGCTTTATTACTGAGCCACATCCAAACCCCTTAAATCCAGTCTTTAAAGTAGAAAAGCATGTATAAGTCTATGAAATGGAACGTACTCTGTGTCTGTGGTCAGAGGTCTGCATTCCTTTTCTAATATTATAGTTAGTCCCCTGCCCAAATCCTGTCCAAATAGAACAGACAGTATAGAAAGTACACACAAGATATGATTATTTGAGTTATAATTATGGTCTCTTTTTAAAAAGGCCAGTGGTCCTACATATCCCACTAAGTAAGGAAAATATTGTTGATTTACTATTACTATAAATGGGACAGTTTGTTGTGTTTATTTATTTAGTGGGTATTCAGGCTGTGCATCCCTGCATGCCATTGCACAAGTCTAGAGGTCAGAGTACACCTTGTAAGAGTCAGTTCTCTCTGTCTACCCTGTGGGGCCCCGAGATGGAAGCTCAGATGGCCAGAGAGCAGAGCCCTCATAAGACAATCCTGTAAACAGGCACTTTGGTCACCTCCATTCCAAGTCACTTCGTCCCAGTGCTCTGAAGTCAGCTGTGCACTTTTTTACTTATTTGAGTGGAATTTTTATGCCTTTGATTTTCTTTTTTTCTGCTCTGGAAATCACTTGTAAAGGGATGGTGATTCTCTCTTGGAGTTTCTAGATGCTGCCATATGTGAGCCACTGACATTTTGATTCTTAGCTTGGCGAGGAGGAAGAGTTCTCCTTCAAACGTTTCAACCCCCAAAGATATCTGTTGCAAGAAGAGAAAGTTAGTTAAACAGAGGAGCGCAAGGTTGAATGAGCATTAAGGTTATCTCTTTAGAAGTGGTTGTTTGCTATTTGATGTTAACGTTGGAAAGAGTATGCCATTACAATAATAAGTCACAGGAAAGGGACTATGCAGTTAGGTTTGCAGGTGGGGACTGGGATACAGGCTGTATCCACAGGTTTAAAACCATTCTTGTGTTCCCGTTATTGGGCCTGGCCTAGGGACTGTGCTTGCTCAGTCGTGTAAATTCGTAAGGGAGGCATGTAGACAGGAAGGGAAAGAAGAATGACTAGGATGATGTGAGCACTTGGAAGTCTCTAGAAACTGTATAACTTTCCATTAAAAAAAAAGTTGAGATTTGGAAATGTCATGCAGAACGCTAAATATTAAACAGCTATGCTTCTACCTGGAAGTGAGGGAATAGAAGGCAGCTTCCACCTCCGATGCTCCCCTCCCTCTGGCATAGCAGAAACAGAGCGAAACAAAACGCTGAAAGGACTTAAACTGCTTTAAGAATAGAAGCTTAGATTCTGATCTCTGTTAAAAACAGATTTAGTGGGTATAATATAGTAATAAGGAAATAAGCAAAAGGCATTCCTCATCCACTGAAAATCTGTTTGCTAGGCTATGCTGATGGTTAGATTCTTAGTAAAATTTCGTTTTTGGATTTTTCAAACTTTTATCCTGGCTCACAGCAAGACTCACCTTTCATAGGACGGCCATGTGCACACCTACTCAAGGCCCACAAAAACTTGAAAAAAATATTATGTATCTCTAGTACAAGGCAGCAATTGTCTACTGCTGCATTTTATAATTTTATTTATTTATTTTTTTGTCAAAGCTACTAATAGTTCATTCAAATTCTGCCCATAGTCCTAGAAAGAGGCAGCGGATGGATGGCTGCCTGTGTGCTTACCCCTTTTGCATGTTCTTGTATTCACCCCAGCCTCCCTCAAAGGCATGCCTGGTTGGCAAGATCCTTAGATCTCCTTCCCAAGTGTGTCTGCCATTGACACAAAGAAAACCTCAGGGAAAAAACAAAAACAGAGCTGCAGACTGCAGTGTTGGCTATTCCAAGAGAAAAGGCTCGTGACAACAAACACATTCTCGAAGTACATGGCTGTTTATGTTTGAGATGACCAAAGGCTCTGAAGGTGGCTTATTAAACTGCCTGCATTAGGAACTACTGAAGCACGCCAAACACTGTGTAGAAAACACATGTAGAAAACACATGACTTTTGCTTAGGTGTTTTCCTTCTAGATTCATAGTAACAAAACTTTGAATTTAAAGGTTAGAGTTCAGAAAAGCTGAACACTTGTTAGCTAAAGTAATTTATGAATATCTGAATATAGACTCCAAGAAACAAGTAAAAAAAAAACCCTGCTGTTCGTGAAAGTATTAAAACATAAAAGGCATATATATGCACATAAATTCGTGCACACTCGAGCACACACACACACACACACACACACACAACCCCTTTCAGAGGTGATCACTGTTCACATCTCTGTATGAGCCCACTGTACTCTTTTAATAAGCCATAAAATATATCTAAACAATTAGGTACCATTTTATTATTTTAAGATGAAAAACAAAGCCAGAAGTGGTAACGCACACCTTTAACTCAAGCACTTGGGAGGCAGAGGCAAGCAGATCTCTGAGTTCAAGTCCAGTCTAGTCTACAAAGTGAGTTCCAGGACACCCAGGCCTGTTACACAGAGAAACTCTGTCTCAGAAAACCAGAAAAAAAAGAGAGATTAAAAAGCAAGTTTATTGTATGACTGAAATTTGCCTAATCAGCATTAGCAACAGCTTGTGTCACCACATCTCATGTTGTAAATTCCTGTTGGTAACTACTACTCTACTTATGTAAGTGGCTTCTAGTTCTATTGTCACACATTATGAGATACACATTTGTTATATGAAAAAGATTTTGTGAACCTGATGCAATTAGGACAAATCTAAGTGGGATTGTGGAGACCACATGAGAGACTCAGGGCAGGGTAGGGTAGGGTTTCCATTCTCCGGTCTGAGATTTGAATGGGAGCATGGGCATTCTACTCTTCCGACAAACCAGAGATTTTGCAGAACAAACACAGGAAGACAGTGGGTGTCCTCAGTATGTGTGCACTATCACCGAAGAAGGAACAATTCCCTTGGAGTTTGAAAATCTTTGTGTATCCTTTAGGAGATGGATTGTACAATGGTACAATCATTTCAATCTTTTTGTTTTGTTTTGTTTTGTTTCATTGGTATTGACTCTGGTCTAATTTAGCTTAGTATGAATAAAATATTAATGATTATATTATTGCATTTTAAGTAATAGAAATTTGATGTTGACTTCACATGGCTACAGTGAGGGTTTCATTAAAGTGATTTGTATTTTTATATAAACGTTAGGGATGTCTTCCTAGCCTTTTCCTGCAGCTTTGCTATATTTTGTTAAATTAACTTCCTGCATCTTCAGAAATGCAACTTTCCTGCAAGAATTTATTTCCCATGGTATATATTTGTTCATGCCCTCAAATTGGGAGTGGTTCCTGTTTAATGTGGTTTTCTTTCCTTGATCTAGATTATTCTTCATTCTATGCACAAATACCAGCCACGTGTGCATGTCATCCGTAAAGACTGTGGGGATGACCTTTCCCCCATCAAGCCTGTTCCTTCTGGGGAGGGAGTGAAGGCTTTCTCCTTCCCAGAAACAGTCTTCACCACCGTCACCGCGTATCAGAATCAGCAGGTATTGCTTTCAGCAGTCCTCTTGCTAGACTCCTGCTTTCCATATTGCTGCAGCCAAATGTCAGGAATTACCATGAAAACATTCTCTATACATGATACTCAGTGCATGCATGTGTGCACACAGTGACAACTCCTATTCCGTCAATTCCCAAGCAGACTAATCTAGTGATGACTTAAACCGAGCATATGTCTTGCAATTAGCAGTGTAGTTTTACTTCCCATCTTGAGATATTGAATCATAGTGTCATAATTAAAATTAGAAAGCATGTCATTTGCCTAGAAAATTGACATATAAAGTATGAAAACTGAGTTGTATCATAGAGCATGAGATGGGGTTTTAATACCACAGCCCATGAATTATAAGAAAATATTCAGCAGGAGGATTTTTTCCTATACATTCTTTTTGTATATTTTAAAGGGCTTTTTCATTTAACCATAATTTAAACTATTGTACAGGGCATTATGCAATATGCATTACAGTCCGAGAGATCGGCAATTTTGAAGTGATGCTTTTATAAAGGTTTAATTTGAAAAGTGGAATGTTTCTTTTCTAAATTGGCAAATGGTTGTGTTTCTTTAAGGTTGTTTTACAAGCATCAAGAGTGTGATTGTCAAGCTACACACACACACACTTTTGGCACATTGTGATGCCGGGTATACCAACAAATCAGTCAAGAGTCAACAAATTAGAATGAAAATGGACAATGCTACCACATTCAGTTTTTAATTTTTTAGAGCTATCATTTTTAAGAATTTAGGAAATTGATAAAGACTCTTCTGATTAATATCAATGTGATTTCTGTAGCCTGTGTTCCTGCACCATTGTATGTAACTTTTAAAATATTTCTTGAAAAGAAAACATAAAACTGGGGTATTAACTGTATATAAGATGCTATAATAATCAAGTGAGGTGTTTGCACAAAACTCAGTATGGCATACATTATCTATGTTGAATTAATTGATAATATTAGTGCTAAAAATAATGATATAATAGAGCTATATTTTTGTTTAGAAAGGTGCTATTGTATAAATCTATATTCTTATAACTAACTTCTGAAATATTTAATTTATTTAACATTATTTACATATAACTTAAATGAACAGAGTTGAGCTTTAATATCATCTGTAATAGAATTCCCTTCAGTAATAGAATGGCATTTATGATAAATTAATCAGCAAACTTTCATAATATCCTTTTTAATGTAGTTATAATCATATACCAAGACAATATCCTATGGGACTTGTGTGTCTGCAGTATTGTAGTGCTGATGGGGCTGAGGTCATGCACAGGCCAGCTGGGGAGACTCCAGGAAGGCCTTCCATCTCCACGATGCCAGTCTCATTCTTAGCAGGTTAATGTAAGCACAAACATGTTCATTAACGTCATAGATTTCATGAAGACCAGGAATTTAGAAAAGCAAAATACAAGGAATATGCTCTGCATTCCTCAGATCTACCAAGAAACAGAAGTGTTACTTAAAATGTCAAGTTTAGGATGGCATGAGTCCAAACCAACATTAACGGAGATGGTGTTCCTTTCTTTTAAACTTTGAGATCTTAGTGGACAAGAAGCCAGTTTTGAGGCAACAACTTGAAACTAGTTAAAGTTAAGTAATTTTAAATTAGCATTTATTTCTGCCACTTTAATATAATTTTGTTCTGTTAGTAAATTTAAGACACAGGTACCTCTGTTTAGATATTTTTTATAGTTTGGTGACCGGTTAGTACTGCATAGGTAAGAGATAGAGGAATAAACTTAAGGGTAAGGGAGAGACAAAGAAAAATGCTGTGGCAATAAAGTTAGGGAGCATGGAGACTCCAGATTATGAAGAAGGGAAACAAGCTCATAGTTTGTCAATAAATGTAGGCTGCTGGGTGATCCCTGGTTCCCAGCACTACAAGATAATCGGAGTTTCAGTTTGAGAGGATGGTCAAATACGACAAAGCGGCAGGAGGCTATTCAGGTTCCCTCTGCAGGCCTTTATTAAAACAAAACAAGCCTTTATTTTCATATTAAGATGGAAAATGAGTGAAGAAGTATCTCTTTCATAGCAGGTGGCTGCTCTAGATGACTTCTGAAATCTTACCTTCACTGCCAGGATATTAAAACATATGAGACAGGAACACAAAAGAACCTTCTGTTCATTTTTGGATTGGTGGTAGTTCTACAGTTATCGACTTTTAAATAATGCCCTGTGATGTTTATGTAAGATTTAATGTGATTTCCTTTTTACTCTGCAGATCACTCGCCTTAAGATAGACAGGAATCCATTTGCTAAAGGTTTCCGAGACTCTGGGAGGAACAGGCAAGTCCTAGTGAAATTTCCTGGTTGTTCTAGTAAATATATTTAAAGTTTTAATGTGATGTTTTTCCATCACGAGCTTAAGGGTTAACAGTAAACATAGGGTTGGAATCATTTCTGATGAGAATTTAAGTCGGTAAACACTAGTGTGTCTTGGAGGTAACGTAGGTATAGAGTGTAGTCATGCCCTAAAATGGACTTTAATCAGTGAGGCTGGGGTGAAGATGCAAGCTCTTGGCATGTAGAGTGCATGCTATTTCTGGAGAGGCCATGGAGGTTATCTCTTACGGCCCATGGGCCTTCATTGTCTGAGAAACTGTCCTTTCTGCCTCTTCTTTTTGTTTAGAATGTTCTTAATGATGACACACTGTCTATTGATTCTGTCCGAAGAGTCTCTTATTAACTCCGATTTTCAACTGGAATATGAAACCGTTTCACATTGCCAAGAGACCTGATCCTCTTCAGTTTCCAAATTTGTCCTTGGCTCTACTGACAGCCACACACTTGTTTATTATTTTTTTTTCTGTGTTGTGTTTTACAGTGTTTGCACTAAGTGGGATAACTACACCAATTAATTTCACTCTATTACTTTTATCAAGGAGATGATCATCTGGTGTATTTGCTGCAAGATTCTAAATTTATTGATGTGGCTCTATCCCAGTACAGTTCAGTGTTACATTTTCTAAAATACTGCTAGTCATAGAGGGTGATAATAGAGGAATATTCTCTAAATGTACTTTCTGGTAAGGCTTTGCTATGCATACTTCTAAATACATTTTTATAACAAGAGGGATTTGAACTTTATTACTTCACTCACCAAATCATTCTGATAGGTTTTGAAATTGGTATTGACTAGGATTGTCTACATGAACTGAAACCCCTCAATTATCAAGAAACAATTTCACTTGAAAATTTAGAAGGAAGAGCTATCAGGTAATGGTCTAGCTTTTCTGGTGTTTTTAGCAGACCAGGTAGTCAAGATAGGTGACAGACAGGTCTCAAAATGTGCTTAGTTGCTAAAGAGACTTGGTGTCATCCTCATTTACATTGGCATTACCTAAACAACGCATGCACATGCATGCACCATTAAAGTACTAAAATGCAACTAAGAGTCAGTGAGACTAGAGTGACCTTCCAATTAGTGTTAGGAGGATCAACAAGACTGATCAATAGGAGAGTTTTCTGAAGTGCTTCACTTTATGAGATGGTTTGCAGGTATTAACAAATTCATCTCCTGCATTGAAATTGCTTTACATCTTTTGGGAAATGTTTCAGTGTGGTGAAAAGTTGTGCCTGGAGGTTGTTTTGTTTTTGTGTTTGTTTTTTTCAGGGATGTTTTTGAAAATTGAGTGAAAACCATAGTTTAGTAGCCCTAAAATCATGAGTGCAGTGGCAGAAGGGAACCTGTAAGATGACTTTTTCTGCCTTGGGAGATGCTTGGGTGAACCCATCTTGTGAATTTAGGTTACATCAGAACAACATTTTAGAGCCTTGCATTGGCTTTAGTTATTTTTTGCTTCTTAAGCAGAAAAGCAATGTATTAAAACTCCCATAGGAGGGCCACACTCAGGCTTTGAGAGTAAATACCAGAAACCATGCTCAAGTTGCTGTTTAGTCTGGGAAAGATGCAGCTGCTCCTGACTCTGGAGAGAAGTTCACTTGTGAGGCAATGGCTTATGAATAGTCTTAAAGTATATTTTGGACAAAAAGCAACAAGTGAAGCCTCTATAAGAAGCTAGATGATGGGTTCATAGGATAAATTTTGAGGAGGAATTCTAGCTATGCCAGCATAAAGAAAGATTTGGTTATTTAAGTTGTGCCATTTAAAATACTCATTGTCATGGGTGAAAGTAAACCACAAAGCCTGTTGTTCAGTTTGGAGGCCACAGGTCTGACATGGATTGCGTTCCCTTCTGGCTGTTTGGAAGGAAATATGTAGGCTAGGTATCAAATGGTGCTTTACATTATTTCTTTTGATTCTAATAAAACCTGTAATATTTTAAATCAACACACAGAAGTAGAGGATTATATTTTTACACTCTGAATTTGGTTAAAATTCAAAATTCTTAGTTTTCTCCAAGTGATCGTCTTATTACAGGCAAAGTGTGTTGTGTCTGTATAAAGCAGTGAGTGGTTCTCAACTTGTGGGTCGCAAACCCTTTGAGGGTCAAATGACCCTTTTACAGAGTTTGCTTAGGACCGCAGAAAAACACAGATGTTTACATTTTGATTCATAACAGTAGCAAAATTACAGTTATGAAGTAGCAATGAAAATAATTTTATGGTTGGGGGTCACCACAACATGAGGAACTGTATTAAAGGGTCGTAGTATTAGGAAGGTTGAGAACCACTGCTCTAGAGCTTTTTGGTTAATGAAATAAAGTTTCCATCGTTTCTCATGAAATGCTGCTCCATATTAAAAAAAATGACCTTAACAGTGTGAAAAATTCTGTCAATTTAAATAGTTCGAAGTTATGCATTCTTGTCCTTAAAATATTAAAAAGATCCTGTGTTCCATGTGAGGCTTCATTGAAGGTATAGTGGCTTTGAGGGCATAGAAGAACGTAATATTTTTTCATATATTAATAGAGTAAAGTCTATGAAAACTGCCCACAACATTCCTTTATTTTTCCTGGTTCTGCTATGTAGTTTTACTGCTTTTAAAAACATAATTGTATTTTTATTTTCCTCATACTTGAAATAAACAAGTTGATCAGGACACAAAATAAACACAAGCATGTGATTGCTGAAGTTTTATGAAAACAATTCTGCTTAATTAAAAAGTGTCCTTCTTTGGCTACTCCAGGCTCTCCTCATGGCTCTGCAGCCCGTTTTACAGCAATCAGTAGCTTCAGCCCTTGAAGCCCTCCTGCAGGCATTTGCTATGTGAGAGTGAATTTATGTGCTGAGAATAGCTCCATTCCGCAGTTAGGCCTTAGGTTTGACCCTATAAAAGGTTTTACTCAGGAAGGTACAAAAATTTCTTCTCTTAAATACTTCAGGAAAAACATAACCATTTTACTAAATAAACTCAGCCATTTGATAGCATAAATGAGGGCGCTGGTAAATGTGGAGGTTGCTCGAAGGCACCTTGTATAAATTATCGCCTTGGCTACTCTCCTGCAGGAGGGGCCTTTCATCTTCCCGTTAACTAGATGGGAAAAGTCTCCATTACTGGAGAAAATGAAGGCTTTTTAACAAAAGTCCAGATTCAACTAATAAATATTTTATAACTGTTTCCTGCAAAATATCTGAAATCCTTTGTGGAATTGGCAGTGTGAAGTAATAGCCTCGGGCAACATATCAATAGCTCCCAATCAGAATGCTTGTAGTAGATGTGTCCCCTCTAAGCCATCACTTTAAACATAGGGTTATGTGTTTGCTATGCTCAGCAACATCTCCCTACGAATTTGATTTGTAGATTTGAAACATAATTCAGGTTACATTGCTAAAACAAATAAAGCAGCAAAAACACATCTATCTAGTTCAGAAACTTCTGGTTTTAGTAAAACTATTTCATAATGACATTGGTATTTTTACTATTCCAAACTACCTTTATCAAAGTTAACCTGTGTGAGCTGGCAGTTTGTTTTTAAATAAAGGTGTGTATTAGTATTCTCTAACAAAAAAAAATTTCTATTCTCTTGAAAGCAGTAAAGATTTAGCATTGGTTTAAGCTATATACGGAGAGACCATCAAAGCAATACCCAACTTTCATTAGTTCAGTATTAAATACAACCCACAGGTATCCCCGTATTGAGACAGATCAGGCCCACACACTGCATAGAAAGGGATATTTTACCATATAGAAAATATAATTGAGTTGTATGACCTCCAGGATTTGACTTATAGTTTGGCCACAGGTATGGTGTCTGATTTACAAAAAATAAAGTAAAATAAAAACCCGTTAGAATGAAATGAATTATCCTGGATATAAAAGGGCTTCAGTTCTTCATAGTTCAATCTTCACTTCTCAGGAAGCTGAAGTCCAGGGAGGGCAAGTGAGTTTGAGTGACTTGTAGTCGCTGGTTCTTCTGACCCCAGGCTATTATTTTTACCCAAAGCAGTCTTTTCTGTGGCACGTGATTATGTCAGAGGTCAGACTCCATTCTTCCCACCCACATAGCCCAGGAGAAACGGCTGGGGTTGTTTTCCCTGTGGCAGATTGGCTTGCATCTGTATGGGCTGGCGATACCTCCTCTGAGACTAAAGAAATTAGTAAGAATGTGTAAAACCTGGATGCAGAAGGATGGCAATGTGAGGTAGTTTTCCTGCATACATCGTTCCTGCTCTCTGAGGAGCTTTCACTGTGTTGGCGAGGTCATATGACTGGCAGGAGGTTTTCTCTAACCTTAGTTCTTAGTTAATGGTTTGTGAGTACAGGGAGGCAGCAGCTGAGTTGAAAATAGTAAGAAATGCAACAGTTATATGAAATGTCCAGATAGTTGGTATTTTGCCCAGATGAAGGGTTTCTGTTCCTGTAGTGCTGAGGATGGTCCCAGGACTCTCTGTGCATGCTAGGATGCACTGGATGGTTTTGGGGGCAACTTGATGAGCTAGAGTCGTCAGAGAGGAAGGAGCCTCAGCTGAGGAAATACCTCCATGAGATATCCAGCTGTAAGGCATTTTCTCTATTAGTGATCAATGAGGGAAGGGCCCAGCCCATGGTGTGTGGTGCCTTCCCTGGGCTGGAGGCCCTGGGTTCTATAAGACAGCAGGCTGAGCAAGCCATGGGAAGCAAGCCAGTAAGCAGCACCCCTCCATGGTTTCTGCATAAGCTCCTGTCTCCAGGATCCTGCTCTGCTTGAGTTCATGTTGTGACTTCCTTGAGTGATGAAGAGCAATGTTGAAGTGTAAGGCAAATAAACCCTTTCCTCCTTCCCACCTTGGTTTTTTTTTTTTTTTTTTTTGGTCATGTGTTTTGTTACGTAATAGAAACCCTGACTAAGACATGAGATAAGTGGTAAATTACTGAGATGCATCCTGGCCCAGACCATGTTATCTTTCTAACAAATTTCTTAGAGTTGAAGGCGGGCAGTGAGATTCCAGGCTGTTTTGAGAATGGCTAATTTAGAGAAAGGCTCAACCCCAGATCTCAGATTGTATTCTTTAGCCAGCACATATAAGAGGGAAGGAAGACTGAATCACTTGTGGTAGGAAATTATTTATGTTTGCATTTAGAGTAGTTGCTTTTGTTTTGAAATATACGGATGAATTGTAAATCATCTGCAACCAAATTGACACTTTACACATCAATTCATTGTGCATGGCGAGGCTGTACAATAACTTACAATGTTGATACTAATCTGTGGCTCTGGAGATCACCTCCTCCTACCTTCTGCACACTGTGCAAAGCAGAGTGGGAGATCAGTGCTGCCCCCTCCTGGCCTAGCCTGGTTAGTAGTGGGGACCGCGCCAGAGCAGAAGTCGGTTTTCCTTGACTTCCTCTGAGCTAACTATTGATGTACTAAATGATGGGCAGAAATGTCCCTTAGAAAAGAGAACATGACCTAAAGATGTTTTTGTAACTGTCTCCTTCTTCATCAGAGGGCAGACTCCTATGACAGAGAAAGAGGCTCCAGAGTACTACAGAGCTTTGGCCTCACAGTAGCCAGGATGGACTCATATCCCCAGGTCCATGTGTTAGCTTAGGGTCCTAGAATGCCAGCAGGCATCTTGGTAGGTTCCCATTTTCTTCCTGCATCCCTGTGCACAGCATTTCTTGTTGCCCGTGGCAATCACCTAACCTGCCACCAAGTGTAGAATGTGTAGGGCATTGCCAATACCATGCTGTTTATTCAGATGCTTAGTATTAGTGAAAACTCCAGCTCTTCCTAACCAGACTCTGTTTGTCCTGACCTTTCCATGTAGAATGGGATTGGAAGCCCTGGTGGAGTCATATGCATTCTGGAGACCATCACTACGGACTCTAACTTTTGAAGATATACCTGGAATTCCAAAGCAAGGTAATTCAGTCTCCTGGGTCATATATGCAGAAAAGGCTGAGGTGTAAGAGATGCACACTTTGTTATTTACACCCACGATGTTGACTTTATCATCAGCATCCTCTGACTCCAGGGCGTATTCCTTTTCTGCATAACAGGAGAGAGGTCAGGAAAGATGGTTGTCCTGTGCTGTTAGAGGTTAAATAATACATGTTTTAGCTTACCTTTTCCTTGCAACATTCATCGAGCCATGCGATGTTGGGCTCTGAAGCCAGGTGTACTCTACAAGAAATTGCCCAGTTGCCCATACCTGTTCCTCATATTCATCTATTATTAGGATTTCTTATTGGGTCTGTGATGAGATCAGACCATTTTGAGCTCATTTCTCACAAGCCCTGGACTTGTATGTCCTTAGAGAAAGGGGCCATCCTTGTTTGCTCCAGTCTGCTTAGGAGGTAGACTCTTAGGTCAGGCAAATTTTTACCAGGATCCTGCCAGCTCCCAGTGAGAATTTCACATACTCAGGTTTTGGGCTTTTATATAAAGGAGTGCAATGAAATACTGTTGCTAGAATAATGAAGGTTTTACAGCCCTTTGGAATTCTCCATTCTTCTTAAGTTATGTCAGGTTTGCAAGCATCAGTTGACTAGCAAATCCAGAAAAGGGAGCTGGCAACCAATAGAAGGGAGTTGCTATTGATTGTTTGCAGGGTTAACCCACCCTCTTTGAGAGTCATAGTATGTTAATTTCTTAGACCTTTGCTCTGTGTTGCATGCTATTTGCCAACCTGTTTTCTAGCTGGAATTGAGATTTTTGAGGGACAAAGTGATAGCGTAGCAGAACCCTGAGTGGTACAGCCATTGATGCACAGTAAGAAGCTACAGATGCACACGAGGTGTGGCATCCTAGACCCAGGGATTGAATTTGGGTTATTGGGCTTGGCTGCAATTATTATTACCCTTAGGTCCCTCTTACCAGCCCTTGGTTTAAAAATATTGAGAAAATGTTATGTTTAAGCTACTTAATCTGAGTTCTACGAAATGAATTGATTGAAAGCTAGGCCACCTCTCACCTTTGCAGTTCCTCCCTCTTGAAACAAGCTTTACGTATCACATACTTACCAAATTTAAAGAGAGAGATGGCAACTGGAGGCATGCTTTACACTGCAACTTCTTTTTATAGGAAATACAAGTTCTTCCACTCTACTCCAAGGTACCGGGAATGGTGTTCCTGCCGCACACCCTCACCTGTTGTCTGGCTCCTCCTGCTCCTCTCCCGCCTTCCATCTAGGGCCGAACACCAGCCAGCTGTGTAGTCTGGCTCCAGCTGATTACTCTGCCTGTGCCCGTTCGGGCCTCACCCTCAACCGCTACAGCACATCCTTGGCAGAGACCTACAATAGGCTCACCAACCAGAGCAGTGAGACCTTTGCTCCACCCAGGACTCCCTCCTATGTGGGTGTGAGCAGTAGCCCATCTGTGAACATGTCTATGGGTGGCACTGATGGAGACACCTTCAGCTGCCCGCAGAGCAGCCTGTCCATGCAGATTTCAGGGATGTCCCCTCAACTCCAGTACATCATGCCATCGCCATCCAGCAATGCCTTTGCTGCTAACCAGACCCACCAGGGTTCCTACAACGCTTTCCGGTTACATAGTCCCTGTGCCTTGTATGGATATAACTTCTCCACGTCCCCCAAACTGGCTGCCAGTCCTGAGAAAATTGTTTCTTCCCAAGGAAGTTTCTTGGGGTCCTCACCAAGTGGGACCATGACTGATCGGCAGATGTTGCCCCCCGTGGAAGGAGTGCACCTGCTTAGCAGTGGGGGCCAGCAGAGTTTCTTTGACTCCAGGACCCTAGGAAGCTTAACTCTGTCATCTTCTCAAGTGTCTGCACATATGGTCTGATGAAACCTTTAAGTTAAACTAACTACATTTGAATCTAATGGATCTTTCTTAGTTTTGAAGGAGGCCACATGGAAAATATGTACATATAGTAGAAAATGAAGGCTCCCTGAGGATTTTTACTTTCTCCTGGCAAGACTGTAATTATCTATGGCATGTATATATGCTATATATTCACAGCATGTAGTATCCTGAAGGCTTCTGACTGCCATGTTTATCCAGTGTTGCAGAATATTAACTACATATACTGTGTTTATCCAGAACAACCAGACTCTAAAAGCAAAACGATACACTTGAATGTTGGTAATGATACTAACCAAAGACTTTTCTAATGCTCCCATGCAAAGTGATGGGGTCCATTACTGCAGTCTGACACATACCTAACCAAAGATTTGTAACTTCATCTATCAGAAGAGTGCTCTGAGCAGTTTGTATTTGAGTGTTGGTAGCAATTGATTTCTATTATTCTTGGACATGATGTGAGACTCTCCAGTGCAAATGCCAGCTAATTATTAGTGTATTTCTGAGATATCTACAACAATAAAGGCTTAGCTTTTCATTCCTGCTTATTCTTATTTACTGCAGACCTTGGACCTAAAAATCCATAGCTTGACTGATGGTTTTTTTTCCTGAAGGAAGGTAGAGGAGACCCTTGTGACTTTTCACTTTCTATTGGACAAAAAATCTTAATTACCTGCCAAAAATTACATCTGTACTATTTTAAAATTGTTTCCCCACTTCATTTAGTTGATCAAGAAGGCCATTAAAAATTTCCTGTAAACATTTTTAAGTTCGAGTTTTCACCAGGGAAGGGGTTGGATAGTATGGTATGAGGAATTGCAAAAAAGAAAATAAGTCGACCTCAGATTCTTTTGTCTCAACGAGTAATGTCTATTTATTTATTAATTTTAAATTAGAGGAATAATGTTATCCACCCCTAGGCCTTTGTGTGGCTTGTTTTTTAGATTTAGGATCATTCTCTATCTTTGAGCTGCCTGACCCCTGGTCTGTGAGTAAGGAAAAAGCATTTCTGCCACTTATTTATGTCTCATAACTCCTACAAATTGAACAGTTCCCCCTCCCTAGCCTTATCTCCCTGTCTGACTCCTTTTCCAAAGCAGACAGGTCTTGCCTTTATGGTGCTAATGCTGCAAGGAATTTCAGAGGGTTATCTCCAGCAATCTGTCTTGTGCTTGTAGTCAAAGGCCAAAGTCCATTACTAGAAAGGCCTCCAAGGAGGACCAAGGAGGAAGATACTCATTATGATAAGTGAGCTATAAAACTTTTAACCTCAATAGCATTTTAACTTTGGAAGTGAAGAAATGAAAACAGGATTGACTTTTAAAAGTGCCTAAAATGAACACATGACAAGTTCAAAATAAGGAACTTTGATAGTAGATCATGAGATAAACAGAAAAAAGTGAAGCATGCAGGATGGTGCACAGTTCCTTGTGTTGAGAAACTAAAGTGATGTGTCTGCCCAGCTGCTCCTTACATTTTGTGTACATCAAATGAAAAGAATGCTTTCCTTTTGTTTATTCATAGGCTTGCTCTATATTGTCCCTAATTTGGATGGGGAAGGAGCCTCTATCCCAGTTTACTTTTTTACTGAACAGGATCATTGTTGGATATTTAGGGGAATGTTATGTTTAGACAGAACACATTCTGGACTTGTCTCTGTTTATAGATACCGACAAATTTCACCATGGATTTTATAAGGAGGTCATCAAGTTAATAGCAATTTGAAAATCTAAGATTAGCATCAAGGAGCATGAAATATGTGCAGTAGGTAGCTCTAGCTAAGGTTTTATGCATGGTCTTGCTAACTTGGCAGAGATTTGGAAAAAAGACTTTACACCAAGTGGAACATTTTTCTTTTTGTTGTTGGTAATTTGAGATGACATTATCATCTGAGTAGACATTTTTAAAAATTGTTTTGGTAAAATTTAGAAATATTGCACCAATGCTGTTTCTTTTAGGTTTTGCTGTAAATAATAATAACCATGTCACTCCAAAGACTAACCTTTTATTATTGTACTAAATGACATATATACATTGATAATTATAATTATCTGTATTTTATTAAGAAGTGCTTAAGAAATTATATTAAAGTACATTATTGAACCTTTTTTGGTTTTGGAGGATAATCATTTTAATTGCTTATAAATATTTTTCTAAGAATAAAGACACCCATGAGTACCCTAGACACAAATTCTGTAGTTCTCAATACAAAGCAGGGAGCAATGGGCCTGTTGTTCATTTTTTATGTATTCAATATAATTTCTCAGTGTGAGAACCATGTCATTGAAGGTGAAGGCAAATGTTGAACACACCACAGTTTGGGTGTGTGAGGAGGAGGTGGAATAGCATGTTTTTTTTCAGATCTGGAGAGAAAGGCAAGGATGTCGGGCTGATCTGCTTGAGCTGCTAACCAGTGATGACAGATTACTTCTAGGCCTCTTGACTAGAAAACATTCCAGGGCACATGGAGATGGGAAGAGGGTGTTGTTATCAAGACCAGTCACATTCTGAAAATTAATACTTGCTTCCATACAAGCCCCCTCCCAGAGGTCAACAGCTTTTCACAAGTGGGGCACACTGTTGTTGACCTCTGGTTTCTGGAATGTAGGGGGTCAGGAGACCTTCATGCCTCCCAGAGGAGGCACAGTGTGGCCTATAGAAGGAAGGGCTCACTCTTTATGTCAGTTCATGAAATTGTAAGAGATAAAGAAACCATTTAAAATGCAAGTTGGTCTTCATTGCCCCTGCAAGTTTAAGCTTACTAGTAGCTGAGATTTTACTGTATCATGAACAGCAGCTTTGGGAGATAACTGGACATTTGATTACGAAAAAAAGAGTAATCTTTGCAGCAGGTCCTTTATGGGAAGATTTGAGAGAAGAAGAAGGTACAAAAAGAGATCCTTAAAGAAAAAAAAAAGATCCTTAGTGAAATCACATATTTCCCCTGAAGTCTAGTGTAGGGCCATTAAAGAAACCATTCCATGAGACTGGGGAGTCATGGCAGAGCTGCTGAATGCAATACCGTGGTCTAGCTAGAGGTTTGTAAAGAATTTTTATTTCAGTGTGAGTTTTCTCATAAGAACTTGCTGGCTCATCTAAATAAAGGATTTCCCACACTTTGCATTGGCAACAAGATTTTCATTAAGTTATCACCATGCTGTATTTTAATCTCATCTTTTCTAAAATAAGTGATAAGTTGGGAACAGGGTTAAATATGTGAGCATTTAAGTTGATGTCCATGAATATGACAGATTAAGATCAAGATAATCTGTGATAGAAGTGGATAATACAAATAATCAAAGTATAGGGAACTCTAACAGATGATAAACATGGTATTTCTTTATGCTTGCAGATTTGCAGGTAAGTTGTTATTTTTGAGATTTTGGCAGAGTGAAAATATATTTAGAGAAGGTGGTTATACATCATGGATGTCTCAATCAAGATTTTGAGCATAAATCACTTTGGGTCTCATTTTTCTAGTGTGTAAAAGGTATATTTAGAATAGGAATATTGACCATTTCTTTCAGTTTTGAATTCATGTAATATCTATTTATTGATTCTTAGCTTAATATCAGTAAGCACATTCTAATGAAATTGAAATTGGAATATATATCTTTATTTGGGGATACACACATGCATATATACGTGTACATCTATGTCTCTATATAATCTTTACATAGAACATAGCAGTATCAGGATTATTTCCAACATACTAGATTAATTAAAGATGACATTTAAAGTGGAATGGAGCTTTACTCAGTCATAGATGACAAATTTTAATGTTTTCTTATTTGAGTGAAACTATAATTAGTAATGTATTTTCTACTGCATAGTATACATAAAATATATTAATAAAATTTCCTTTTAATAATGTTCTTAATTGCATGGCATAAATCATCACATGGAACAAGCATGGAAGTCTTGTATCTGGCCATCTTTCTAAGTCCATTCAAATCCTTGAGAAGACACTTAAACTTATCTTTCTGTAGTTTCATTCATTCTGAAATTCAGATACAGCAATATCAAGCAATTTAATAACTGTGTTGTTTGTACATGACTAGATAGATCCACAGAGAAGTTCCATGTTCATGTTTGAGTTTATTACAGTAACTAAACTGACTTACTAGTAATACTGATACTTTTCTATCTCTAAGTTTTATTAAGATACAGTTCATACATCATACAAGTTATCTTTCTGAAGTGAACAATTCAAGGGCTTTAGTATATCTGTAGAACTGTAAAACTATCACTATCACCAGTTCTAGAACATTTACATCATTTACATTACCTTTCCTCCCATGCCTTTCTTGTTCCCAAGTCTTACACAATTGTTAACATGGGAATGGATTCATACAGCATGTGGCATTTTATGACTGGTTTCTTTCACTTAGCATAACATTTTCAAGGTTCATCCATTTGTAATGGTGAATGCATTTGTTGTATGGATGAACCACTGTGTGTGTGTGTGTGTGTGTGTGTGTGTGTGTGTGTGTGTGGTGAGCATGATGGTACACTTATTTCTTCATTGTTCTCTTCTGTCCAAGTTTGCTTGTGAGACAAAGTTTCACTATGCATTCTTGGCTAGGCCCCAAAACTCATTATTTAGATCAGGCTAACCTTAAACTTGGAGTAATCTCCTGTCTATCTCTGCCTCCCAAGTGCTAAGATTGCAGGTGTGAACTAACATGCTCAGTTTTTACTTTGAACTATCATGAATAATGCCATTGTAAACACTGTAGATATTATTCTGATGACACACACCTTCGTTTCTCACGGTAATATATCTGGGGTGGAGCTGTGAGATGCTGAAATATTCCTTTACTGTCTTCCAAAGCCCCGTTTCCTCATGCTTGCCAGAAATGCAGAGCTATGATCTCCCTGTACCCTTGCTGACCTTGTTATTATCAGTCTTTCTGATGATACTCAGCCCAGTGGGTATGCAGTGCTATCTTACTGTGGTTAGAGTTCCATTTCTTTCAAGACAAGAATAATACTGAACATCTTTTCCTATTCTTTATTGGCCATTTGAGTATCTTCTTTGGAGAAGTATCTTTACAGATTCCTTGCCCACTTTTTAATTGGGTTGTCTCTTATTTTTTTAAATGTGGTATATTTTTCTTTGTATATAAACTAGATTCATGTCCCTTATAAGATATATGATTTGCAAATATTTTCTCTCATTCTTTGTGCTGTCTTTCAGCTTTCTTAATGGTGTCCTTTGCAGCACAAAGACCTTAATTTTTGGGAGGTCTTGTTTATTTTTCTTCTCTTGATAGTGCTTTTGATGTGAAGACCAAGATATTTTGATGAACTCTTTTAATCTGATGTTTTATATTATTGTTAGTAGTGCTATCGCCATCCTTAATAGTAGCAATAGTGATAACTGATGTGCATTTTAAAAGTGCTTTTAGGGTATGTAAATTTAATAGCTCATGATAAATTACCTTCCAACAGGTCTGAAATGTTCTTAAGGAAATAAATCATCCCTTCAGTGTCCTGATAAGAGGATCCTAAAGCACCAGGGACTTTTTATTCCCATAGAAAATGGTCAGCATTTTCATCATTTGTTCAATCAATGACTATTTATTAAGCAAGCCTTCACTATTTGCCGGACGTTGTTTTAGACACAGGGTACCATTGAATGACACCATTGGTGCCATCAGTACCTTGTAAAAATGGTTTCTGAAGAAAGGGGAAAAAAACCTCTTCAGAATGCAGTATAATACAGTTGGTGAGAAAAATGTATTGCAGCTTGACTTTTCTATGAATAGATGCCCTCGTGCTTGTTATGGCATTACATATCCCAGATGGTCACTGCAAACTTGCTTGCTTATGTGCCAAGGTACAAGCGGGATGCATTATCGCCTTAACTCTGAGTTTGTTTTGTGGTTTTCTTTGGAAATCCTAGCATCATTTAGGATTCATTTTTCCAATTGACTTTATTTATAGAACAGTAATAAGATATTTCTCCATTATTAGCAGGAAAGGAAAAACCCTGCTTATTTAGGGTTTTTGGAAAACTGCACATTTTTCTTAAAGGTGTTTGTTGAAATGGGTTGCAGAAATTCACAGACTCCTTTTTCTTAATTTGCCTAATTGAGTTTCAAGGAAAAAATGAGTTGAACCACATGTCTTTCACACAAAATAGAAGCTCTCACTGAGCAACAGGAAAGGGACTTTAAAGAGGTTGCCACTGAGAAATGTTACAAAGCACCAGGAGGCCTTGCAATGAATGAACATAGTTTGGAATCCTCGTAAGCATTTGCTCCTTTGTATCCCTAAGTTTGATAACCTTGGTGTGTGGAACTATGAAGCTGTTTACCTGTGAATGCTAGCTGTCTGTTCAGATTTGCCTTGCGGTCACAGAGGGCAGGGCAAACCTCAAAAGTTCTTGATTGGAAGATCCTTACAGTTTGACTAGGGGAGAGGCATAGAGATGCATTGTGGGTAGCCATTCTGGCCCAGCTACAAATACTGGGATGCTACTGAACAAATTCAGTGAATCCCTTGGCAGCTTCCACTATCATTTCTGGTCTCCCTTATCTTTCCATGACATTCTCTTTGTCCTAAATGCCCTTTCTCATCTGCCTTCTCGGTTGAAAAGATTTACTCAGGGACTTCTTTGCTCAGTGAAGTTTTCTCCAATTCCCCCTCCTCCCCATAAGAGACACAAACTTTCCCCAAGAGACACAAACCCTTCCTGGAAAGTGTAGGAGCACTCTAACACTCACCTTTTTGTGTTTATTTACTTATTCTATGCATGGCTGCTTGTGTGAAAGTCAGAAGATGACTCGCAGGAGTGGGTCCTACCTTTCTCTGTCCACCATGTAAGTTTCTGGGATTGAACTCAAGTTGTCAGGCCTGGGGGCAAACACCGTTATCTGCTTGAGCAAATTTGTTTGCCCTGGATACTTCTCTTAAAGAATATACATATCTTTCTTAAAATACCATTTTCAATTTAAATTAGAAACAAGCCTGCTTCACATGTCAACCCCAGCTCCCTCGCCCTCTCCTCCTTCCCCACCCCCCACCTAGCCCCCACCCCATCCCCCATCCGCTCCCCAGGGAGGATGAGGCCTTCCTTGAGGAGTCATCAAAATCTGTAGTC